TTTTTGTTTCTTTCTTACAAAAAAGTGATAGATTTGTAAAAAGTCATGTCGGTGTGACACGCTTGTAAATATCATTAAAAAGTGGTCTTTTTGCAATTCTCCCTTCAAAATTATAGAGATAAACAATTGATTCCTTTTTTTTATTTTTATAACATTCATTCCCTTCTCTTCACTTCCACCAATAGATACCCTTATCCATTAGTGACAAAATACCAGACCAAATATACGTTTCGAATTAGAATCCAATATATGTTGATAGAATCTTGATTAAAAGTCTATATATAAATGATATACATATTAGAAAGAAAAAACATATATTAGAATAACAAAAAGAAAGGCAAAGAAAGGAGTGGATAACTGATCAAGTGGGCCTCTTAATGCTAATCAATAATGTCACACATTTAAATCTATTTATTCTAGAGGTGTTTTGTTGGTATTCTATATAAGAAGTGCGGTTTTTACTCATTCACCACCAATTGATGTCTTGTCTCAGTGCTCCAACGTGACGTGATTAATTCCACTTAAATCTCGCACTAAACTTAATTATGTAACAACTTTGGGATAGATTGATCAAAAATAAGCGAGGGCTTCACTAGACAGCATAGAATAAAATTTGATTGCCACAATTAATCAAGAGGAATTATTTTTAGACCATTTGAAGACTAAAATCTCGTTCTATTTGTAAAACAATTTCGACGCATAACTTGAACCTAATTTCAATTTGGCATATATTATTATTGGATACGTACAACAGCTTTCTACGTGTATCAAAAAATTCTCCATGTTCTGGATAGTGAAGTATACGTATACGTGTTTCAACTGCTAAGACCTTGTTCAAGCCGATCCTCCACGAAGTTATTAGATCCGGATACGTGGACTTCTAGGAGTTCAAGCACGTAAGAAGCTAGCTTGACCAATGACAAGAATCCACAGTTTTAGGTATCACGAACCTTATCGATTCCTAACATCCTGATTTTAGAAAAATATGGTGTATTTGATAAAATGTAAGAGAATTG